TTTGGTCTCCTTCCCCTGGTGAACCTAGTTTAAAGGTTAGCCAGCCTGCTTCCAAAGATGCTCTTCCCTGTCTTTGTTAGGTGGAGCCCGTCTCTGCCTAGCACTCCTCCTTCTTGGAACACCATCCCATGGTCAAAGAATCCAAAGCCTTCTCTCTGACACCACCTGCGTAGACATTCGTTGACTTCTACGATTCGACGGTCTCTACCCGGGCCTTTTCCTTCAACAGGGAGGATGGACAAGAACACCACTTGCGCCTCAAATTCCTTTATCCTTCTTCCCAGAGCTACGTAGTCTGCAGTGATCTGCTCAAGGTCATTCTTGGCAGTATCATTGGTGCCCACATGGAGAAGCAGGAAGGGGTAACGATCCGAGGGCTTGATGAGTCTCAGCAGTCTCTCCGTCACATCGTGAATCCTAGCTCCTTGCAAGCAGCAGACCTCTTGGTTTTCCCAGTCGGGGCGGCAGATAGATGACTCAGTCCCCCTGAGGAGGGAGTCCCTGACCACCACCACCCGCCTCCTTCTCTTGGGAGAGGTGGTCGTGGAACCCCGCTCCCTTGGACAGTGCATCTCATGCCTTCAATCGGTGGAGTCTCCTTCTGCTCCCTTCTCTCAGATGTATCATCTACTCCACTCTCTGCATTAGTACCTGTGGAGAGAACATGAAAACGGTTGCTCACCTGTATCTGCATTGCTGGTACATGGATGCTCCTCTTTCTTCTTCTGGAGGTCACATGCTGCTAAATTTCTTCACCATCCTTCTGTCCCCGTTGCGCAGCCTGCTCTGATTCTTCAGAATGTTGTGCCCGTAGAAGCATATCTTGATGTCTGCAGGGCCAGCGCTTCCATTTAGGTGACCTAGGCGGTTGCCTAGGGCGCCAGGATTTTGGGGGGCGGCAATTCGGCGGCGGGGGGTCCTTCCGCGCTCTGGGTCTTCGGTGGCAATTCTGCGGCGGGTCCTTCACTCGCTCCGGGACCCGCCACCGAAGTGCCCCGAAGACCAGGAGCGCGGAAGGACCCCCCTGCCACAGAATTGCCGACGACAACTGGGAGCGCGGAAGGACCCCCGCCTAGGACGCCAAAAACCCTGGCGCCGCTTCTTGACGTCTGTCCAGGAAATCTTCATTTTCTCTTATGCAACACAGGATCTATACTTGTTTCTGCAGGCCTTGAACCGTCTCTTCCAATATGGAGACCAGTTTGCACTTTGTACAGACAAAGTCACTTCTGTCCTGTGGAAGAAAGACAAACATAGCACATCCTGTGCAAGTAACAACAGCTGAACGCTCATCATCCATATTTCCTTCCTTCTAAGAGCTTCCTCAGCTGTTGCAGTAACTACTCAGAGAAGCCTGCAAGATGAAAGCCTCAGTACACTCTCCCAAGGCGAACTCCCTCTGTTAGCCTCCGCTGTTCGCTGCTCAGCTGGTTTGCTGCTGACTGCCTTTTTATAACCGTCAAGCCCACTCAAGGCCCACCTGGAACAAAGCATTCCCAATTCACACTTTTCAAACAATCAAGCACACTGTCAAACTGACAAACTGTCCCCGCAACAGACACTCAGATACTCACCAACACAGCCCCCCTAATGCAGCACTTAGCATAACTCCTCTCAGACAGATCCCAGGTAAACTCCCTCTGTTAGCTTCCACTGTTTGCCGCATTATTATTATTAATTAGTGATCCAAATGGATATAATTTTCAGATCAATTATTATCAATTCAGAAATGTCTTTCTATCTTTCTCTGGCTGAGAATACATCTCCTTTGTCTTGCAGTCAATCCAGAATCTGAGATCATGCCTGTTTAAAACTGTCTGATACGTTTCTTTAAAGGTTCTAATTCGTTTTACTCAGTACTTTACATACTAGTTGTAAGTGGTTTAGTTCTAAAAGTTTTGTTCCATGTAAATACAGCTCACTGAATGACTCCAACAAGTTAGAGATATGTCCTAGACATATTGTCTGTCATTTTATTGTTTGATGCACACGTACAAACTGAATAACAGAAGCAACTTGTTTCAGAAGGGTAGCCGTGTTAGTCTGTATCAGCAAAAACAACAAGGAGTCATTGTGGCACCTTAGAGAGTCTCTAAGGTGCCACAAGAAGCAACTTGTTTAGTTAAACTTTGTGAGGTGTGGGTGGGGAGAGAATTTCACAAATCAAATATAGTATACCACAGTGGGGTTCAGTTGTGTTTCCAAAAATAAAGTCAAAGGTCTTAAACAACAACAAAACTCTTACTACAGCCTTTTCCTCTGAACTATATCTATATTTGTAGTTTGTCTTTCATTGCACTAAAACTATTTACAAACACACAACAGTAGACACTTATAGTCTACTAGCAGTAGACACTTATAATATACCTTAATAAGGGACTTCCATTTTGGGGACTTTCATATGCATGTCATCATGTGGCATTTATTTTTGTCATGTTTTTCTTAGGGCCTTTCCATAGCTGCTAATTAACCAAAGGTATTTGTGCCCAATTTGCAATCCTAGTTCAGGATTACAATGAAGTACGTGGGAGAGGTAGACTGCCATAGGGCCTGCTCCTGTTTCTTTTCAATTCAATTGAAGCTATTTCATTTGCAGGAATAGACATTTAGCAAGCACTGAGGCCAAAGCCAGCCTTGATTTTTTGTTTTAAATGTTCTCTGAATGCCCCTGTGACAGGTATGACAATTTCCTGGACAAACCTTATTGAAGTAAGCTTATTAGAAGTTTATTGTATTAAAAACACAAATGTTTATGTACTATTGTATATAATGTCTCTGGGAGGTGGGGGTGGGGGAGGTGGAGACATGACTAATGTAAAGCCTGGGACGTGTTATGAACTTCAGTGGGCTATTTGAAACAACATGCCAGACAACAATGAATGTAGTTAAGTGGTGAGGAGTCTGGTGGCACCTTAAAGACTAACCGATTTATTTGGGCATAAGCTTTCATGGGTAAAAAACCCACTTCTTCAGTCACTCCAGGCATCTGA